ATGGATGCAGACCATGTCACACTTCTCAAGTCACTCAGGGTTGCTTAGATAAACCACTGCCACTGTATTTGATGCATCTGAAGGATAATTCCTTCCAGCTAGGTCTTTTGGACATAAAGTGACAAAAGTATTATGACCTCTTTTCCTCTTTCTAGAGCCGATGTTTTGACGTGGCTTCCTGCATCTTTGCTGTTTGTGGGTATCATCTATGCTGGTTCCAGAGCATTGTCCAGACTGGTAAGTGTTAGAGGTTTTGGGGGGACCCATCCCTTGTCTTTTGCCCCTTTTCCTTTTAGCATATTATATCCTGGATCAATAGGGGACAAAGCATCAGCTTTAATAATGGTATAGCTACTTTAGACAACAAGTCTTGGACCTGAGGCCAACATGGGGTGTTTTACCCCTCTGCCTAAATTGAAGGTGAACAGATAACAGGGAATGGCCAACTTGTTTTGTAAAATGGAGAAGTACAGGTGGAGATGCAGGAAGAAAGAGTAGCAACATTTGTGGAGCCTGCCACAGACAGGGCCAGCCTGCTCTGCCTCAATTCAAGCCATCCTTAGGAGCAGGGAGAGAGGGTTTGGCCTGCTCATTGCTTCTAGGGAACTATAACTTTGCCCATTGGTAATGTGGCCCCAGGGCATGCTGGGTTCAGTTGTGGATGTGCTTGTACGTGCCTGGCACAGAATTGACACCCAGTAACGTGGGGATGCTAGTGAAAAAAGTGTTTATTCTATCCTCCTACCCCATCCCCCCAAGAAGTGAGTTCCTCAAAGGCGGGAACTGTGAAGAACAAACTTCTTCCAGTTACATTATATAGAGCTCCAAAATTTTAGTTATTTTGCCATCAAAAGAGAATCCATTAATACCACCATTGACCAGAGACTCAGAACATGGCTTAAAAAGCAGTAANACTCTCCAGTGCCTCATACCAGGTATGACTTTTATCCCTTATTGCTATATCTCCTTAGAAAATAATCCTTTTATAACTCCTCAGAGCTAACTAGGATTTTAAAATTATAGTTTCATTTCTTCCTAAACAAATGATTTTTTAAAAATATGTCAGGAGATGGCAAAAACACAAAGAAGCCCCACCACCCTTGTAGCTCATCTTCACCTTGTCTATACTACCTGGAAAAATATGGAAAACTCAGTTGTCATGGGTTTTATCTGCCCCAGGTAACTGCTGAAAGGTCTGACCCCTCTGTGTCGTGATAGCACATTAACAGTCACGGAAATCCTGAAAGCCAGAGATCTAAATTCTGATTCCTGAAACAGAAAGTGTAAACAATTCTTCAAGTTATGTCAGTGCAGCTGTCAGCTGACTACACTCCTTGGAGCAAACAGTTTTCTGTTGAAGGGAGGCCCGAGTGTGCACTCCCATGACTGCCACTGTCTGTTTGCTGTCCATCTCGCCCACTTGCTTGTACATTTCATGAAATCACTGTTGCCTAGAATTCAGGAATAGATAGTTAATGGAGAATAGGTTTGTGACAAAGACTTACAAATCCTTGAGAGACTCATTGCTGAGAGTAATGGATCAAGGGGGAAATTATGTTGAAGAAAATATATTTGAATTTTATCCTCAAAACCGGGGGGTAAGGGAATACAGGAAAATCAAATGTATGAGTAAGACACATTTAATAGTGCATTCTTGCTCACTAGAGAGCAGGGGAGGATCCCCAGACCCTTATATCCAGTTCTTTACTTGACATCTCTGCTTGGGTGTTCCAAAAGGGCCTCAAGTTCATCATTTTCAAGACTGAGTTCCTGATTTTTCCCAATCAAACCTCTTCCAGTTTTTTATATTTAGTGCACCACCATCCGTCCACTATGCAAACTGGAAACCTGGGAGTCATACTTGGTGTCTCATATCCCTCACCCCTTAGTAGAAATTATAACTAAGTTCTATTGATTTCTCAAATTGGTCCATTCTCTCCATCTCCATCATTGTCTGGACTACTGCAACATCCATCTAATTAATCTCCTGCCCTCATATCCCTAACTCCATTCCAATCTATTCTCCATACTGTAGCCAAACTTTTCAAAATGCAAATCAGATTATATTACACCCTCCCTACTCTTGGGTTTGTCTCTCCATCTACTCAAGCTACACTTGCCTTCCTCCAATTTCATCTTGCCACAGGGCATTTGCACATGCTTATTTATGTCTGAAATATTGTATCCCTTCTATCACTCTACCCCACCCCCTATACCCAGTTTAATTTTGGATTTTATTTCAAACATCACTTATTTGAGGAAGGTTTCCCTAGCCTCACTGACTAGGTCAGGTGCCCTTATCATCTCTTTTGTAACATTCATCAATGTAATGTTTTACATTTATTTATATAAC